GGACCGGGACCGGGACCCGCGGCGCTCCCGGGGGATAACCGGGACCGGGACCCGCGGCGTTCCCGGGGGATAAGCAGGACCGGGACCGGGACCCGCGGCGCTCCCGGGGGATAACCGGGACCGGGACCCGCGGCGTTCCCGGTGAAAGCAGGACCGGGACCGGGACCCGCGGCGCTCCCGGGGGATAACCGGGGCCGGGACCCGCGGCGTTCCCGGGGGATAACCGGGACCGGGACCGGGACCCGCGGCGTTCCCGGGGGATAACCGGGACCGGGACCGGGACCCGCGGCGCTCCCGGTGGGAGCGGGGCTCGGCGGCGCCGGGGGCGGGGCCCGTCTGGGGGCTCCTGCCGTGAAAGCGCGGCTGCGATTGGCTGGCGAGGCGAGGCCCGGCTGTCACGGGCGCTGCCATTGGCTGCGGCGCGGCGGCGCCTCACGCGCTCCGGCCGCTCCTTTTGTTATTGTAGGGACGGAGTTGGGAAAGGGCCGAGGGAGCGGGAACGGGACCGGGGAGAGGGCCGGGAGGAGGAGGAGAGGGCCGGGAGGAGGAGAAGAGGGCTCAGAGAAGGCGGGGGAGGCTCAGGGAAAGGGCTGACAGAAGGAGGGTGAGGCTGAGGGCAGGAGGAAGGGGCTGAGGGAAGGGCAGAGTACTGAGGGAAAGGGCTGAGGGTGGGAGAAAAGGGCAGGAGGCTGAGGGGGAACACGCAGGGTGGCACGCAGGGTGGCACGCAGGGTGACACGCAGGGTGGTACACAGGGTGACACGCAGGGTGGCACACAGGGTGACACACAGGGTGACACACAGGGTGGCACGCAGGGTGACACGCAGGGTGACATACAGGGTGACACGCAGGGTGACACGCCATGCCTTGCAGGGCCGCAGCGCCATGTCCCTGGGCAGCGACAGCGGCCCCGGCATCGTGCACAGCCTGCTGTGCCACCGGCAGGGAGGGGACAGCGAGGCCTTCGCCCGCCGCGCCATCCAGAGCCTGCTCAGGAAGCTGAAGGAGAAGAGGGACGAGCTGGACGCGCTGGTGGCCGCTGTCACCTCCGGCGGGGCCCAGCCCGGCCAGTGTGTCACCGTGCAGCGCACCCTGGACGGGCGGCTCCAGGTACCGCGGGATGGGGGGGACACACAGGTAGACCCTCCCCAAGTTTGGGGGTGCCCCGGGAGCCCCCTCCGCTGGGCTGGATCCCCTGCCCGCATCCCCCTCCCCTCCGCGGCATCCCCCGCGCCGCCCTGCCCGGTGAGTCAGTGTCTGGCGGCCGCGGGCCGGGGGGAGCGGGGAGGGGGGGATTTGTTATGTCTGGAGCCGGGAGGCGCGGGGAGACCCCCGGCCTGGCGCCAGCCCCGCGCTGGGGGGCTGGGGGGCATCCCGCTGTGGGGGCTTGGG